ATATTTTTAAAAATATGATTTGAAGGAATCAGCAACTCTGCACCTACCATATGCTTAAAGGGAAACATGGAGCTACCTTTATTTAAAAAAAAAAAAAAGATTGCCAAATCTTGAGATTTGATGACCTTATACCCAAAACTCACACAAGAACTCTGAAACCCTTTGGCAGACTTTGAGCATTTTTAATTTTTTAAAAAATAAATACTTTGCGGGACCTATGGCATTGTACATTGGCGCCAAACTCTGTACTATATTAACAAAATATTAACTAGTCTTACCTCTTAAGTATTAACAATTCCATACTTGCGTAGCCTTAGTACTGCTACAGAATCTGGCACTTCAAAAATGTTCTAGCTATCCTTATTTCAATCTGAAAATTCTTTCTTAATTCTTTCCTTTGACAAAAAGACTTCAAGAGTTTTGCATCTTCTAATTATAGACATGAAAAAGAGACTGTCAAGTATATAAATAAGAAACTACCAACTTCCTAAAATGATCTGAAGATTCACAGAGCCTGACTTGCTGATGGCACTGTGCAGCAGGGGAATACTCCCAGCTCCCTGATAAGAAGTAGTGCTATATTAATAATTCCATTTTTTAAATATATGAAATACAAGCTGCCAGTGAGTTGACTGACAAGGAAGAAGAGTGTAAGTTATGGACTCCTGATCCTCTGTCCTTGACAGGTCACATTATTATAACCATCTGCTATTATTTTTTAAGTGAACAAGCTGGGAAGGATAAAAGGATCCTGCAGCTTTTTTTTTTTTTTTTAGTGCTTACCTGAACTGAATGGTTTGCCTGATGATTGCCAGTGACATGAAATCCCCACGCCCATGCTCGTTCTCTCCACAATACAGAAGCAAACCATCCTCTGCTTCTGCCTAGGAATGCAAAAGCAAGGAAAATCTTAGAGCTATTTTCTCTCCAGAAGCATACTGGGAAGCTGGAAAAGGTGTAGAAAGAGGCGTCTGGAAAAGGGGACAGTTCTGCACCGTTGGGGGAGGGAGGACTAGCTCTGAGCGAGTGGAACAATATGACACAGGTAACTAAAGTCATGCATGAGGTGAAGAATGTAGACAAAGGAATGCTCTTCGCCCTCCATCATTAGTTTAGAACTGAGGTTCACAGAGTCAAAATAAATGCAGTGTTTTATAACCCATAATAGGAAGTGGGGGTTTTTTCCCTGCACAAAAAACAGAATTAGCTGTTATCAGAAGAGGTGATGGTCACCAATATAGATTGTTTTAAAAAGAGAACCAGACACATTCATGGAAGATCAGACTATTAATGAATGTCAGTCTTGATTGCCGTATACACCCAAGGATCAAAGGTGGCACCTTTTGTGTGTGTGTGTGCGTGCGCACCTTTGAGTCAGTTTTTGACTCCTGGCAGTTGCCTGGACTAGTCTCTGCCATTTCCTGCTTCCTAGGGCTGAGAGAGAGGGACTGGCCCAAAGTCACCCAGCTGGCTTCATGCCTAAGGTGAGACTAGAACTCACAGGCTCCTGCTTTCTAGCCTGGTGCCTTAATGACTACACCAAACTGGCTCTCCAGCATTTGTTAAATTGTTATTAGAAAGCAACAGCGGAAATGGCTATCACCCTCATGTCCTGCTTATGAGTTTCTAGAGCACATCTAGTTAGCCACTATGCCACAAAGATTGCTAGACTAAATGGACTTTCCGGCCTGAATACTTATTTTCTTGGACTCTGAATGCCAAACATATTTACAAGGAACTGGCATGAGAACGGTGTTGCCTCCAAGTATCATCTCTGATACTGAAAATGATCCTTTTCAGTTTGGTGAAGGGGGAGAATTGGTGTAGTGAGTAAGGTGCTCCCTTACTCCTCCCTTGGGCATGGAAACCAGTTACTCTCTCTCAGCCCAAACCACCTTGCAGATTGTTGTGAAGAAAACAGGAGGAGGGAGCATTATGTATGCCACCTTGGGTTGTACAAAATAAAGGCAGGACATAAATCTGATAAATCAATCAATCAACCCTGGGCCATAGCTCTCAAACAGCACAATACTTCATTGGTGTCTATTTAAGTGGGGGGAACCTCCACACAGCTACTTGGACTGCATGGGGATTCAGATGACTCTGGAATCCTAAATGCCTTTTTTTCAATGGAATGAAATTATGCATAAAGGAAAATCAGAATCGCCCTTCTGTCTGCTGAATGTTCCATCATTAGGTTTTAAAAGTGTTTTAGCAGCTGCTTAAAAGCCTTTATCTATTTAGCTGACATGGATAAAATCAACATGAAAACAGAAGAGATATTGGTTTGGAAAAAATCATTTTAGCAAGTGCGTCATTTCCTGTGCCTTTCTGGGTTAATCAAAGTCAAATTCCAGATCCAGGTCTCACAGACAATGAACTGATTATGGGCTGATTAGTCGTATGACTTCTCAGAACACTTTCCAAAGTTGTATGTAGTTTGCCTTCTTGATCATGCTTCCAAGCCTGAAGCTCTGTGCAAGAGATGTACAAGGGAAGGAGAGTCACTGCAAATCTGGCTTGGTTTGATTACCAATCATTTATTTGGAATATATCATGATGTAAGTAAGATTGCATTTGTTTCTGTTCTGTTCATGTTAAGGGTTAATGATTCTCAATAGTGATTTCAGCCAGGTCTAGCAACAAATGCCATCCAATTAACGTATTTGCAGGACCAAATGAGTGGAACTTTCTTCCATGTAGATCCTCATTAGCATGATGCATTCATCTGGAAAAACTGTATGGGATTTTGCCCATAAATCCAGGGGTGTTCATAGGATACGGTCAAAAAAATGAATAGGGAGGCCACATTAGTGCAATTGAAGCTCCATCCATTTTTAATGTGTGACGCAAAAAGCAGGTGGAGCTTCAATCATACCATTTTGGTTGCCATCTTGACTCTTTTCTTTACCACAGTATACCTAATGTTTCTGACCAATTTCCATTTTGGTGGTAAAAGGGCCAGTCATACACAAAGACAAATGGGAAACTCAAATGAGCTTTTCAAAACCAAATTCTATCTGATTTTGTATTATGTATTTTCTCTGTAAAAGCATACTCTGATTTAACTCACTATTGTTGATTCTGCTAAAATTTTGGCACATCTATATATCAAATGCACTATTTTAAGTTGCTCTCATGCAAAATGGCACAGGGGCATTCTACAAAATGCTCAAGTTTTCTTTTGGTTTAAACATATTGACAGAATTTCTCTGACTCATGTATCTGTTAGTTAAAATGTTGCATAGGTTTTACAAAGCCTTTTTTAGTTCAAGACTGCATACACTTACCATAAATTCAACCGTAATTTGGAATGTCTGATAGGAATTCTTAAGAGGTTCAAAGGAGATATAGGAATACCCAAAGAACTGAGGATACTGAATATTAACATCTGAAAGTCAATAACAAAAAACTATTGCTTAGTAGTTAAGCATCAAATAAAGTAAATAATTTTTTAAACATTAGATCACAATATAATCTCTATATATTTAGCACTAGATTTTAACAGTCACTGCCAACTTCTTACATTTTCCCAACTGGTTCTTTCATTCCAAAAGTTTGAAGAATCCACGTCAACTTTTCCCCATTTTTCTGCTCTAAGCATTGTCTTAAGGACAACTGTTTCAGTCTGTTCCACATCCAAATGATGAAGCTTCAATGTGATGTTTCGCTTCAAGAAAAGAAGTGTGTGGCTAAATTATAAGGTTTATCATAATGTATGGAAAGGTACCGGCAAAAGCTGTGGGAATCCGGAACCAAAGCCAAGTCTGGGGCACCCCACAATTGTGAAGCTGACTTTTGAACATTCAGAAAATAGAGGCCCTTAGGAAACTCACAACCAAGACACAATTAAAATAAGCCATTTCTTGTTATTTGACCTAAGCAGCTGGTCATTAAAGTTATATTGCCTCTCAAAAGGTATGCTGTTTACTCAACCTAGATAGTAGATATGAATTAAGTTCCCTCTAGATTTTTGTGAAACTCACCATCTGCCCAAAAGCCAGCTGTGTCTTTTCCAGTTATGGTTCTTCTATGCCTGTTAATGCACTAAAGTGTCAAATCAAATATATGAAATGCTGCTCTGCAAATCTGTCCTAAGTAAAGAAATCTTCAGAATGTACAGAGTTACCAAAGCTTTCCAAGTAAACCAACCTTCTGAACAACTCTCCCCTCCTTTGCCAAGGTTGCAATGGCAACGAGAGCCACTTCGCTCATAATCATTGATGCAAAAGCTGTTGGTAGAGCAGATGGTTTCATCACAGGACTGATCAGACTGTCGTACAACTGAAGTCCCGCTGTTCCTCCTGATGGCCTTAGCAGTAATGCTGGAAGTAACAGTAGTGCGTGGCAGGAGGGTAGTTGTTGCAATAGAACTGATAGGATATGTAGTTGGTGAAAGCAGCTTAGAAAGGAGTTCTGCATTAGACCCTTGTATTATCTTGGTTTCAACCGAAAACTTTGTATTGCCTCCTTTGATAGCAGGAAGTGGTTTGAGCTGATGAAAGATTGATAGAAAAATGTGTTTAGCAAGGCCAAAGCTTAATCCTGCAGATCTTACTGCTAAATATTAACTATGTAGGTTAGGGTAACAATATTCAATAACTGTTCAGTCTGATATGATACCAGTAGGATGATCTGCTGTCAGACTTTTAGGATAGGAGCTTGCTCTGTCATCTCTTAAGGAGAAGAAAGCTTGTCTTAGTTTGAGCCAGAATACTGACCAAGTGTTCATCCTCACATCCTCCTAACTGTAACTGAAATATGTCCTGGTAACTATTTTTATATGATATGGCTCATGCCTTTGCCTCATCTCTACTGCATAGCTTAAACCCGCTCTCCTCCAGTCACTGGGGCGCTGGCTTCCATTGCTCTCTTGACTGGGACTGCAGAAGAGAGCAAACAGTTGGTTTTCATAGACATGCAGTACCTGGCCATGTAGCACCTGACCAGTTTTTCTGAAAAGCTTACAAAGACACTCCTCATATACACAGGTTTGACACTCTTTTGAAAGAACATTTTAGTGTTTTTTGTTTTTTTTTAAATACAGGGCTCTTGAGAGAGCACTAGACCGGTGTTAAACATAAAGTCAATTTAAACTGGGAAAGAGATACGGTTCTACCAACTATGCATCACTGGTTTTGTCACTAATGAGTGCATTTTCCATTACTTCTCCAACAAGGAGTTTCATGTGGCTATGTTTTTTACTTTTTTTTTTTTTTTTTTTAACTTTTTATTTTTTTTGGGGGGTGCTTTTTTGCTTATTCCATGGGCAACTTCCAGTTGCTCCTGGTCACAAGGAGAGAATTGAATTCACTACCAGCACAACCATCCTCATCTGCTGTCCATTCTTTCCCACTTCACCATGCCTATGAGTTGAGCTATTTTGGAGGTATGTGTTTAGTGCTCTTTTAAAGGAGCATTAAATCCATGTTCAGAAATACCCTAAACAGGTATAAGGCTTCGAT